CAGGGTTGGGGGCTGCAGGGTTAGGGGCTACAGGGTTAGGGGCTACAGGGTTAGGGGTTAGGGTTAGGGGCTACAGGGTTAGGGGCTACAGGGTTAGGGGTTAGGGTTAGGGGCTACAGGGTTAGTGGTTAGGGTTAGGGGCTACAGGGTTAGGGGTTAGGGTTAGGGGCTACAGGGTTAGGGGCTACAGGGTTAGGGGTTAGGGTTAGGGGCTACAGGGTTAGGGGTTAGGGTTAGGGGCTACAGGGTTAGGGGTTAGGGTTAGGGGCTACAGGGTTAGGGGTTAGGGTTAGGATTAGGGAAATAAATGATGAGGTTTTTTCTTCATGTACTCCTCTCTGTTCCCGTCTCATTTCTTGCTTTCTTTCTTTTCCTCTTCTTCTCCAGGGAATCAGCAGCCTCTTCAGCTCTCTCAAAGTGGTCCGTCTGCTGCGTTTGGGTCGGGTTGCCAGAAAGCTGGACCACTACATAGAATACGGTGCCGCTGTACTGGTTTTACTGGTGTGTGTTTTTGGCCTGGCGGCCCATTGGCTGGCCTGTATCTGGTACAGCATTGGAGACTACGAGGTGATCGACGAGGACACCAACAGTGTGAGACTGGACAGCTGGTTGTACCTACTGGGAGAGACGGTGGGGACGCCATACAGATTCAACGCCTCAGGCTCGGGCCGCTGGGAGGGCGGACCCAGCAAAGACTCGGTCTACATCACCTCGCTGTACTTCACCATGACCAGTCTGACGAGCATCGGCTTCGGAAACATCGCACCAAACACGGATGGAGAGAAGATCTTTGCCGTGGCCATGATGATGATCGGATGTGAGTCGCTGTTGTTTTCTTTCACGGTGTTAGTCTGAGCCAAATGGTCAGAAGTTCTGTTTTCATTGGTTGTTTCTTGAAGTTTTCAGGTACTTGGCAGGTAGATTGGTTTTAGCATCTTGGAGAACTTCTGCTGATTAAATCTGTCTCAGCATCTTCTGTCTGACTGTCATGTTGGACTCAGGCCAGACCATCTGCTGCAGGTCTCCTTGTTCTTCTTGTGGCTGTGAATTGTTCTTTATGACTCCCGCTGGATGTTTGGACCTGATGTCCTGCCACAGATTGAATGTGGGACTAATCAGATCACTCACTGATGGTATTATGTGATGGATGAAAGTGTAAACATGCACAGTACCTGAAAGTAGTTCTGAAGGCAGCTTCTGCACACTGGCGCTGGTTATTCTTGGTCATATTCCCACCTGCCAGTGTTAGGGTTAGAGTTACCCTAACCCTAACCCTCCTGATCGGTCTGGAGCTACGTTCTACACATGAAGAAGCTAAACAAGTTTCTGCCGATCCACAACTACCACAGATACCTTTCACTTCACACGTTCTCTTGATTAGTTGTTGATACTCGTTTCTGTTGTTCTTCTCACATTTTAAATTTAAAGGCTGATTTGAGGCTCTTCTCCTTTATTCAGTGGGGACAGTGCAGAGCTGGGAGGGGACAGAGACGAGCAGCGGCGTGCAGCAAATGCATCGAACCGTGGAACTGCTCCTCAGGGCCATTTATAGATATTGACTGATTACAGGATTAACCCTTTGAACCCAAAAGCAAACACACATCTTCTTCTCATAACACAACTAAACAGGAGCATAGAGACAGAGTAACCCACAGTTACTCTGCAGACATATTACCGTTTGGATCTGTCAGTAGGCCTACGTGTGATTTGAAGTCGCATTTGTTCATAAATAACACAACAAACCAAAGAACTAACTTCACTGAGTGAATGTGTAAAAGAGCAGGAGCTCTGAGACCTGGTCGCTGTGTGAACGTGTGGTTTATGAAGGTTAACGTCACACGGAGCCAAACGCAAGTTCTAGACGCCGTTCATGTGAGACGACCCTGTTCGGAGGAGTCCACCCTCCACCTGTCTGTCCTGGATACGTGAATGAGACGTCCCACAATCCTTCTGTACAAAGAAGAGGAGAGCAAACACGAGTCAGAAAGTCCTGTCAGTCATTTATGGATGGATGACGCGGTTATCTGATGCATCCTGACTGGTTTCAGATGATGGAACTGTTTAAATGTTCTGTCGTCTTCTGATTAAGTCGAAGTGATGAACAGAAGTGCACCAGCAGTGCTTATGACTGAAACACTGATATTTCAGTGAAAGTATAAACGAGGGATGTTGATGATTAATTCCTGTTTATAATTGAACCAATTAAAACTATGCTCACCTGGTTGCAGCAGCAGAAGGTTGAGCCTCCTCCTGGTTACCACCGTAGGGCCCCATGAGGCAGCTACCTGCAGCACGGCAGCGTTGTGTAGACATGTGAAGGCTCATAAAGTCTTCTGTGACAGTCAGTGACTACAAAAAGGTTTTCTTAGGACCTGCACATCCAAATATCCAAATATTGGGTCATTGTGGTGGCATCCGGTTATCAATTCAGAATACCCCCCGTCCCTTCTGTATCTGGATGTGTGTGGATGCATGTTGCATATTTTTTGCTTTTGTACGTTTCATTTACAGCCTCTCTGGTTGTTAATTAAAATGTGATGGGATGAGATGATGTGTGTGTTTGTTTTGGTCTGAGATGGCGCCGTCGCTTCACCTCCAGCGGTTCTTCATGTCACATGCAGCACCTTTAAAATTCACGTGTAAAGGAACAGTCCGCCATTTTGTGGTGCTGAAGGTGGACCTGAGAGGCAACTGATGATGAAGTATTAGTTTTGTGCTGATCATCATAAATCACATCATTTAAAAGCAGAACCACAACATGATGATGATAAAGACAGTCCAGCTCTGCATGCTTCATCAGAATCCATCCAAATGTTGTCCTCAGACACATTAGTACATATGAGGCAGTCATAGTCACTGACAGGCCACATCATTAACGCCCCCCTTGTCATACCACTGAAACAGCTCTGACCCATGTAGGCCTGGATGCAGGACCTCCTGGGCCTCCATCAAGCACACCCCACAGATGTTGGATTTCTGGAGTTAGGAGGCCCTGTAAACTCCTTGGGCTGTTTGTAGTATTTTTTAGATATTTTTAAAATGTTCCTGAGCAGTTTTTTGCCAGCGGAGACCACTGCCCTCTGCAAGGTCTGTTTCCATGAGCCCGTGTGCTGGTCTGCATGTGTAGTTGTATAGTTTAGGTACGTCGTATGTGTCACAGTGACATCAGGAACAATCCCAGGACCGAGAACAGTGAATTGCAATGAGATGATTGATGTGACGCTCTTGAGCTGTGGGTGGCTTCAATGTTTTGGCTGTAGGTGAAAGTGAAACAAAGGAGGCCTTCCAAAAGCTATCGGAGGCTCTGAAGGTCTTTAGTTTGTTCCAATAAGAACCACTGTCTCTACATATACCTGATGTAAACCAGCACTCAGAAACATCAGAAGCATCACTGACTCACATGTAAACAGCCATCAGTGGTTCTCAGACTGTTTGTGTTTTTGCTAGTTTCTCCTGACTATCAGTCATCTGAACCTGCAAGTTCTCCCTGTTCTGTCTGATCGACCTGTGTTTCGTTGGCTCCGCCTGCAGCCCTGAGGATGAAGGATGATGTGTCACACAAACACACGTCGTCAAAGCCGAGTAGAAACAGTGAGTACATGGTGACCAGTAGGCACCGTGGAGCTCAGAGGGCTGTGGTGTGCTGTCTGGCAGTCGTATGAACAGTTTAGACAAACAGTTTACACAATTATAATAATAACAATAGTAATAATAATAATTATTATTGTTATTATTATGCTAATTATAATATTAATCATAATAATAACAATAATTATTGTTATTATAATTATTATTATTATTAGAATGATAGGTGACACCTTCAGAGTTTGTAATTTGATACAAATGATTCATTGTAGCAACAAAATGTGACAAAATAGACGCAAACAGTCAGAGACACGAAGGTTTTGGTAGTTTAGATATTTATACACACACACATATATATATATATGTATATACAAGTTCCTGGAACACTTTGGTTCATATGGGTCAGTAAAGCAGGACTAGTTTGTTTATTGTTGTTTTTTTAAATTCATAACTGAGACTCATTTACGACCTTTTCCAAGTCTCAGTCTTCATCAGTGGATGCTCAGATGTAACACAGACAGCTCATTAGAAGCTCACGAGGGGACCTTTCGTCAGGATTGTCTTGATAATCCCCCCACTCCCCCGAGTCATTCATGCTCCAGAGATGCGAGCTGCTCCAGGAAAAACCGACCCGTGTGTAAAAATAGCTGACCGAGGCGGAAAAAAGGCGCACAAGAGGCATTGGATCATCTCAGACTGTGACAGAGCGGCTTTTGATGCAGGCGAGCTCTGGACGAGGACTGCTGCTGCTACCTGTTGACGTGCTGCTGGTTCTCCTGGTCCACATGTTGTAGATGGGCTGGAGCTGGGTCTGGATGTGGCCCGGTTTGTTAATGGCTGCAGTTGGAACCCAGTGATGCGTGTCAGCATTTTAAAGATTTAGAGACTTGTCTGCCCAGATGCACGCAGACAGATGGACGGCCTTTCTGTTCGCACTTGTTTCCCCAGAGACGTGATGAGGCCTGACACTCTCCAGTCTGCTGTAGTGGACTTCCTCCCTGAGATATGAGCTGTGCTGTGGTAGTGGCTGGACTCCCAGGCCTCCCTGCTGTCTGCTCCGGTCCCAGCAGGAGGCCTGATGGAGCTCCAGCAGTGTTTTACCACCACTGGCAGCAGTATGTGTATGAAGCATGTATGACCTGTTAAACTGGAGCGTTAAGCACATCTTCAGCTGTCACCGGTTTTACCAGCTCTAGAGAACAAATCGATCAGGAACCCTCCATTTATTGAGTTTGTAAAATCCAGGTTAGGACTCCGGTACATGTTGCATACTCCTGCTGAAGGTTAAAGGGAAATCCCTCAGTTATGACTACAAACAGAAAATCAACACATTTTCCAGGAACAATACGTTGAACATCTTCTGTTGTTGCTGTAGAGCCTCCGGGTCCATCTCTGTCCTGCTAGCTGTGTGCTGGGCACCATCAGTCAACCCGTTCACCGTTTCAGACCACAGCAGGACTTCTCAGCACCTGCAGGCAGCAGAACTTGGTTTCATAGGAACAGTTGCCAGAGGAGGGATCTGGATGGTTTTGGTCACACTCTCACCAACATGATGGCACTAAGTTCAGGAGTTAGTGTCTTCTTGACCCACTACCTGGTCCATGAAACAACATCAGTGTTTTGCCCAGAACCACGTCCTCATGCAGAGACCTTGAGACTCAAAGCGCCACCTCGTGATCAGTGGACAAGCCGCTCTGCCACCTTATCCACAGCCGGCCTCACATGTCACTGCAGTGGTCTGTGATGCTGAACTCTGCTCAGAATTAAAGCAGAGACACGAGAGACTGAAGCTGTAGTGGAATGGGAGCAGTGTGTCTCTTTTGGAGATTCACATTCAGATCCTGTCCCAATTCCAGGCACACAGTCAAAGAGCAGCTAACATTAGCACATCCCAGAGTCGCCTGTATGACGAGACAGGGCACCAGTGGAGGAAAATTAAAGAAGCATTGACATGTGATATCCAAGTGCTGCTGTTCTGTTCTTGTTGCACAGCAGCTCCTGTTTGCTCTTCTTTTGTTTTTTGCGATGTTTAAGCCGTGTGAAGGGTCCGGCCTGTCACTGGGGTTTCTGTTCTGCTGCTCTGGTCCATACAGACCTGGTTACTGTGAAAGATAAAAAAAAAAGTTTTGAATCAACTTTCATCCTGAGCAAAGGTACAGAGAGAAAAACTGATTGCAGCTGTTTATCATCCATAAGGCAAAAGAGAAATCCAGGATGGTTTGGGCTCCATCA